TTTTGCTTTTGTGAGTATAATATGCTGCAATTGCCAAATGGTCCACTTCTTGAGTAGGATTTTCATTTTGTCCCACCACCTCCCTTTCCACTTCCCTTATGGACCCATTCCTACCCTATTTCTCTTTTTCCACTCTTTTCCTATTTGGGAGGATTTTTTTTTTTTTTTTTATTAACTTCGATATCTTGAATCTAAACATCATTTACTAAACCTTTTTTTTTTTGGTCGAATCACTGACTCTCAAAATTCAAGTTAATAGTAACGACATTCTATAAAACTCAATAAATACATATTTTGTAATGTAAAATTTGAGTATTACAGTAACAATCTATTAAATGTACCAGATCTAACCAATTTTGAAAGATTAAACTCAACCCTAAACTCTTATTTTGACGAAAAAAGTTGTATTGAATTCGATTTAAGAGTAACTTACTTCATATATAAAATATTATACCTAATTTTTGAATAATACAGTTTCATCTAAAATGGTAAATGAGCGAAACCAAATAAAAACCATAAATTAGTAAAAGAGAAAGAACTAATTTGGAAATTCTCTCCTTGCTGTTTTGTGTGTGACAAACATATAGCTTTTCAAACAGGAAAGATTCCTCTATCTAATCAAACTTCAAAAAATCTTATGGCCTGAGTAGGTGTATTTGCAAAAAAAAAAAGTTAATTCATAACTTTTTTATTGAATTCGCCGTTGTAATTCTGCTGAAATGTGAGTGGTGTAATTTCTCGAAGTAAAAATTTTATTTAAAAAAGTTGTAGTTGAAAAGAATAAGAAAACTCTCTCGACTAATTGTTGAATTCGATATCTCATTATTAGAGCACTGACTATAAATATATAATTATTAACCACAAGATCACTAAAATATAAGTGATCCAATCAATCTTCTAAATGGTTTTCTATTTAAGAAATCTATGTAACTAATTGAAAATTTTAGATTGAATTTCATGCTTAGTCTTTCGGCTGTCGAATTCACAATTCATACTGAGGCAAGATTTTAATAATTAAAAGAGATGTTCTTACATTGAAACACTCTTGGAGTTTGTCTGAGTGACAAACTTGATTGACACCAATCAACCTGGATAAATTCTTGGGCCATGAAATAATCAAATCAAAGGAAGCAAAAGTTGAGGAGTCAGGAGATTGTGGTAAGGGAGATTGAGAGATTCTTCGATTTCCATTTCGCAATTGAGTGTTTCAAGAAATTTGCGATAATGATGATGATAGTATCAATCAATGGTAACATCGTTCTTAAAATACTCAATTGCGAAATTGGAAGTCAAAGAAATGTCAGCTGAGAATGGAGGGGTGGTGTATTCTTATATCCTAATGAATGTTTTGAGGAATGTTTGGAGAGAGTGTCAACAGATGGGTGACAAGAAGAATAAAGATAGTAAAAAGGATTCTGCAGAAGTTGCTTGCAGAAATGAGAGATTCCGGAATCAAGAACCGCGAGGCTGCTGTGAAACCAATTGCCAAGAAAACAGGTTTCTTAGTTACAGATTATCTTGAGCTATAACGTTAGGAGCAAAAAGTAACAAAATCAATAGCATTAAAATTGAGAATATAATAAATTATTTATCGATTTGATGGTTGATATTTTTCTCTTTTTATAAAAAATTGTGAGTTTGGAATCGGATTATGTGTTTTTGTACATATTTTTTTAAAATTTATTTTGTGATA